CCCTATAAGCCAGACAATGACAAACGCCACTCGACGATGCTCTCTCTCGGTACACACGGCTCGGCTCTAGCGCGCGTTCCAGTTAGTATATATTTCAGTGATATATATATACGATATTCAAGATGGCGACGAAATGGTCCAAGTTATTCCATTTGGCGAACCTGGCCACATACGGAACATTTTTCATGACCACTTTCAATCTATGGAGATACGTCTCCTTAGTCCCAGTCTACAATAGATGATTTAAGCCCTAAGCTTTAACCCCTGGTCCACAATCTTGCTTTAAGTAAGCTGTAAGCCTTAAGCCGTAAGAAATTAACCAATCACAGGCATTTATTCCCCTCACTCTCACCTGTGATTGGTTAATTTCTTACGACTTAAGGCTTACAGCTTACTTAAAGCAAGATTGTGGACCAGGGGTAAGAAATTGGCCAATCACGGTCAAGTATGAGTAGAATGCGCGACTGTGATTAGTCAATTTCTTAAGGCTTAGGGCTTAAATCTCTATTGTAGACTGGGACTAACGCGTTACTTCCAAACCCTGTTCCTGCCATATGTGGCTATATTGTTGAAGTCCCGGAACGTGACAAGCAATTCTTATGTCTTAAATCATTCAGTATCATAGATAGGAAATCAATTAAATTTTGAATCCGGCTAACTTCCATTTAATAAAATTTAATTAAAATTATCTGGATCACTCACAAACCTTTTTAATTGCACTACAAACGTCTTCATACGAAATACCAACGAATTCATATAAAAATTTTATCTAATTTATCTATTGCGCTAACAATAAGTATACGGTGGAAAAATAATTAATTAATTACAAACAAACGAATGACTCACAAACCTTTCTAATTGCACTAGAAACGTCTACATACGAAATACAAACGATTGCATATAGAAATTATTTAAAAATACATTCAGTCGGCGTCAAGTATGAGCGAATTCGTAGTCGTCGTAGTCGTAAAGCCTCCGCTACAATGATTCTCGGTTCTGGGGCTCGATTCTTGAATTTATTCGAAGGAGAAACGTATGCGAAAATTCTGCTCTTACAGAAAAGTTGCAAGTTGATTGGCTATTCGCATGGCTTTAACCAATCGACTTGCATCTTTTCTGTCAGAGCAGAATATTCGTATACGTTTAGGCCTTTGCACGTAAAAAAGCATTAACCGTAACCGTAATTTTAGTCCATAACCTACGGACCCTACGTAATTTTAGTCCGTAACCTTAAGAATTTTACTTGGGTTGCTCCATCTGTCTGTACGTGTTGAAAACTACGATTACGGACTAAAATTACGGTTACGGTTAACGCTTTTTTACGTGCAAAGGCCTTTTCTTCTTCGAATGATTTCGAGAATCGGGCCCCTGTCTACAATGGTCGTAGTCGTAAGAATAATCGATTGCGATTGGTCAATTCTTATCGAGCGACTACGACTACGACCATTGTAGACAGAACCGAGAATCATTGTAGCGGAGGCTTAAGTAAAACGCCGGCGTGGCCGCTCTCAGGTTTCTCTCTGGTTCCAGTCGCTTTAAAATTGTTGTTGCCGGCGGTGAGCTCATAAATGTCGATGTGACGGTTTGACAAAAGCATCATTGACAAGTGTCTCTTTTTCCCCCTCTAGATAAGGGAGAGATTAGGGACCTTCGAGCTCTCCTTTAGATGCGCTTGCATTTCTAGAATTACTGCAATCGCGCTGTAGCCTTCCGATGTGTTTCGCGCGTCAAGTCTAGGTTATGTCTTGGTAAATACAATATTATTTATCAATTAACTTGCTTTAATAGCGAATTCGGCAGCTTGCACTAGTGCGCACCGAGTCTACACCGAGGCTTGTTCAAAGTGTACTCTTATATTTATGGTATCCTCAAGTAAAGGAAAGTCCTCTATTATGAGACAGAATTCAATTATGAGATAGTAGCTTTTCAAGATCCAAATTCAGTCACAAGTTTTTTTTTCGCAACGATTACACGATCTAGCAATAAATTTTTCACTAAGCAGATTTCACTCCGAGGGCAATAAATTCATGGTGGGACCAACAGATATCGCCTATTAAGGTCCAGTTTCACAAACGTCGGTTAACTGTTAACCAGAGTTCAATCGACTTCCTATCTTTCTCTATCTTGTTATCCAAGAAGAGACAGAGGATCAACTAACCCTAGGTTAGCGGTTAAACGACGTTTGTGAAACTGGCCCTAATTTAGCTGAAACTGCTAACTCATGATAGGAGACTTTCTTCTACATGTCCCAAAACTATTTAGCCAAAGAAATGATCCATACGAATACTATGCAGATTATTTTACTGGCTAAGAAGTATTTTAAAAAGTATTTAAGACAATCCTTGCATTTAAGAGTTGACTGTAAACAAGCCTTTGTACTGACTCGGTGCGCACTAGTGCAAGCTGCCGAATTTGTTATAAAAAGTTTGAGAGAACAAATGGAATTATCTCGCAATTGATTCTTTTTAGATTTAGCGCAAGGAGACACGTGTTAATTGCATAACTTTCTTATTATCGTCGAGGATATTATGTGAGCTGAGACTATGAGTAACGAGGCTCAAATTACTAGTATCTTAAATGATATTTTGGTAAGTGTCGAGAAGTGTCATATATTTTTTCTGTGGTCGGCAGCTTGCACTAGTGCGTACTGAGTGCACGCCAAGGCTTGTTCAGAGTCTACTCTTATATTTATGGTCATCTCAAGTACGTGTCTAAAAACTAGCAAAAAAAAGTAATCCATCCGAATGCTATACAGATTATTTTACTGGCTAAGACGTACTTCAAAAAGTATTTAAGAGAATCCTTAAATATAAGAGTTGACTGTAAATAAGCTTTAGTTCACAGTCAGTGTGCACTAGTGCAACCTGTTGAATTCGCTAATAATTTTGTGACAGTGGGATCTCAATTTCATTAAACGAGACAATGTATTTTACACGTTTCAGAAAGTGGAGGCAATAGAGGAGGCTTTTAGTTGCGTTCTCGTTCACCATCCTAAGAAGGAGAGTGAAAAGGTAACAGCATGGCATCAAGAGCTGAAGACTGCTGTGACTGGATTGACGAAGGAGCAGCAGGAAGCGGCGGTTCGTCAATTCCTGACGATGGCGGCAGCGATGACCAACCACAGACGATTACAGTTATTACTGTCGCTACTGGAGAATTTAGTGTATTCAAATTATTTGCCTGCTAGGTAAAATTTTGGATAAATTCGCGTTTATTCGTGCCTCTTTGATTCTCTTTATCGTATTAAGTTATTTCCTATGATTCTTTTTGCAGGCTAGTATGCGAGTGTATTCTGAGTTGTGACAAATTGCAATATTGTTTGGAAGATTTTTGGGTTGAGTGCTTCGTTCTCATTAGACATATCATCGGCGGAGTCGATTATAAAGGAGTGAGAGAAATCATGAAAGTAGGTTCCCGTTAATGATTGTAATAATTTATCTTATATTTTCAATATGCAAAACATGAGATCTTTCGCAATCTTATTATACAACACTGAAAAAGAATTTTCACTATTGTAGCTAATCATGATTTGTTAATAATATTTTGATGCCTTAACTATAAATATCTAAACCACAGTAAACGATTTGCTGTCGCACTTAATACAATAAGCACATTAAGCAAAATACTTAGCTATTACAACTAAATATTAGCTGTTCATATTTTACAACTGAAAGTTGTCGCATGCATTTTTTTAGCTACGGCAACTACACTTTTTTTCCGTGAAGATATAAGACAAAAGTCTGAAGAGATACATATTTTTCTGTTTTACTCTTAGGGATGCAAAGAGAAAGCCCAAACCATACCAGCCCGATTAGACGCGTCGGTGCAACCGCAATTGAAGGCTTTAGAAAACGTTATTGAATATATCTTCGATAGAAATGCGTGCTTATTGCCGGGTTATTTTATCGTCAACGAGATACAGAAAGCTTATCCCGACGGCAAAAATTGGCCTCATTGGGTAAATAACAAAAATATTGAGAGTAATGAAAAAAATTACTGAGATTAAGGGTAAAGCATTGCACTTAATAGTTTTACGAAAAAGTATCCCCGTTAATTATGCGTTTTACACGTCCGTTGCAGAAACTGGCAAAGTTGCTCTCGAATTTTGTCGAAAGTTTTCGAAATACTGCACAAATGGTGTCTATAGTGGGACACTCGAAGATGTTACCAGTGGTTGAACACACAGGATACGCCGACTACCTGATTAATCCTTGGCTATTGGATCCTACTACATTAAAGTTTTCGCTGAAAGGGAATCTGCCCTATGATCCAGATTTGCTTAAGCCTCAGACGGAATTACTTAGATACGTTCTAGAGCAGCCGTACAGCAGAGATATGGTCTGTTCGATGCTCGGTTTGCAGAAACAGGTAAGACGAAATTAAAGCACGTGAAAAATGAAGATAAAATGCGAGAGGCGAAAGTGAAATTGTAACTTGGGTTACATACTAAGATAAATAAGTGGATTTTTTGTTGGTTCTACATGCAAACTATATTTCTTAAAAGTTATCAGGAAGCACACCATTGGCTTAATATACCCTTTTAAATTGATATACATATTTTTATTTGTATGTCAAGCACAAGCAACGATGCATCGTCTTGGAAGAGCAACTCGTGGAGCTCGTCATACTCGCGATGGAACGATCTGAGAACGAATCTCTACCAGCAGAGGGAATGGATGGAACGGTGGCCAATCACTGGGTGTGGTTGCACCTGTCTTCGCAGCTCATTTATTTTATTCTCTTTCAATTTGCCTGTTTCCCAAGTATCGTTATGGCGATACACGATAAATTAGCGGGCAGAGAATTGAGAAAGGGCAGGGACCATCTAATGTGGGTACTTCTGCAGTTTATCTCCGGTAGTATCCAGCGGAATCCACTATCAAATTTCTTACCCGTACTGAAACTATACGATCTCCTCTATCCGGAGAAAGAACCTCTGCCTGTCCCGGATTATACCCAAGCACTGTGCACTCATCAGATGGCGATAACGTGCATATGGATACATTTATTGAAAAAGGCACAGACTGAGCCCTGCACTAATATTCATAGACCCATACCGCACACGCTCAAGGTCCACCACGAGTTCCTGCAGCATCTGGTCATGCCAAACGCGTCTCTCTGTATGGGGTCGGATTATCGCATTGCGCTCTTGTGTAATGCGTACTCTACGAATCAGGAGTATTTCAGCAGACCGATGGCAGCTCTGGTAGACACCATCCTGGGTACACAGAAGAATCAGCAACAGCAGCCCATGCAGAACCTGCAGAATAACGCAGCGTTGGCGAATGGCCCGACGACGCCGCTTTCAATGTCCATCTTGGATTCCCTGACCGTGCACTCCAAGATGAGCCTGATTCACAGTATTGTAACGCATGTGATCAAATTGGCGCAGTCCAAGAGCAACATGGCATTAGCTCCGGCACTAGTCGAAACTTACAGTAGACTACTGGTATACACGGAAATCGAGAGCCTCGGCATAAAAGGCTTCATCAGCCAATTGTTACCAACAGTATTTAAATCTCACGCCTGGGGGACTCTTTATACGTTGTTGGAGATGTTCAGTTACAGGATGCACCATATCCAACCACATTATAGAGTACAGCTGCTGTCGCATCTGCACAGCCTCGCAGCGGTACCACAGACCAACCAGACGCAGCTTCATTTATGTGTCGAAAGCACGGCCTTGCGTCTTATTACCGGCCTGGGTTCTGCGGAGGTACAACCGCAATTGTCTAGATTTCTGTCGGAGCCGAAAACCCTCGTGTCTGCGGAATCGGAAGAACTTAATCGTGCACTGGTGTTGACGCTAGCGCGATCCATGCATGTTACCGGCACCGGCGCCGACAGTCTCAGCGGCACGTGGTGCAAGGAACTGCTGAACACTATCATGCAAAACACGCCGCATTCTTGGGCGAATCACACGCTCCAGTGTTTTCCGCCGGTGTTGAGCGAGTTCTTCCAGCAGAACAGCGTGGCGAAGGAGAACAAGCAACAGATAAAAAAGGCGGTCGAGGAAGAGTACAGGAATTGGGCGTCCATGAACAACGAGAACGACATCATCGCACATTTTTCAGTTCCCGGCACCCCGCCATTGTTCCTGTGCCTCCTGTGGAAGATGATACTCGAGACCGACCGCATCAGCCCTATCGCGTACAAAATCCTCGAGAGAATCGGCGCCCGAGCGCTGTCGGCTCATCTTAGGAAATTTTGCGATTATCTAGTGTTCGAATTTGCCAATAGCGTCGGCGGTCAGCATGTCAATAAGTGTGTGGACACTATTAACGACATGATCTGGAAGTACAACATAGTTACCATTGACAGGCTTGTACTTTGTCTAGCTTTAAGGACCCAAGAAGGCAATGAGGCCCAAGTGTGCTTCTTCATCATACAATTGTTGCTACTGAAAGCGGCGGAGTTTAGAAACCGTGTGCAAGAGTTTGTTAAGGAGAACTCGCCGGAGCATTGGAAACAGTCAAACTGGCACGAGAAGCATCTTGCCTTCCACAGGAAGTTCCCGGAAAAGTTTGCGCCGGAGGGCATTATGGAGCAAACCAGCGGCGGACCCAGCCAGTATCAAAATTTGCCCGTGTACTTCGGGAACGTGTGTCTTCGCTTCTTACCGGTTTTCGACATAGTCGTCCATCGGTACCTAGAGATACCGCCTGTTATCAAGAGTTTGGAAATACTGCTGGAGCATTTGGGCTGTTTATATAAATTTCACGGTATGTGTCTGATAAAACCTTGTCGATTCTAATCAAACGGAAAGAACTTTCTCTACCATGCAATATAATATTTGAACATGTATTTGTTGCTCCCGGAACGAATTATCACTATTACATTAAATTTTATATTCTGTTATTTATATTTCAAGTACATTTATAGTACTAGTACTAGTAGTACTAGTACATTTTACAAGGCGTTTTTGAAGGAACGTACCCAAACCTCTTATAACACCTCTCTCTATATCCACTTCGCTATGTGGCGATCGAACGAAAAACCAACAATGTTTTTGTTTGGTTTTGAACTCGGGTCTTCGGATTACCAGACCAGCGCACAATCCTCTGCGCCACGATCGCCACAGTTATTTATATAATTTTTATTTCTTAAAATATGCTGTCTTATAAATGGGAGTACATGTAGGGTGAGAATCTGCCGTGTTTCTACACGAAGTCATGCATCGTCCCGTACAAAATGATACAAAAATTGACATAGAAATTGTTGTTCAAATTGATATTAAGATATACACTCTTTTTGTTTTATGCAGATGCGATTGAAGAAAATATCTGTTTCTTTCGACGAATTGACTAGATTTTGTTGGATTGAAGGCCAATTACGATTTTCAGATCGACCTGTCACATACCTTTACAATACATTGCATTATTACGAGAAGAAGCTGCGGGATCGACCGTTGTTAAAGCGTCGACTGGTGTCTGCTGTTTTGGGATCGTTACGGGAAATCAGAGCGCCCGGATGGGCACTTTCCGAGGCTTATCAGATGTATATGACACGCTTTAATGATGATGCAGTCTCGTGGGTACCAGAATTGGATTATTACATTCGACTTGTACAAAGGATCGTAGAAAGTAAGGCAACCAAAGTTTTTATTTTTTCTTTGTTGTTACGATTGATTGTAATACAAACTAGACTAGATCTTTATGCAATCATTAAATTCCTTTTGACTGGAAACAAATAAAACTCAATCGAAAGCTTGAAGAAAGTTACACAAATATCAATAAACTTTGATAATCACAATATATTTTATTAATTGTAAGATAATATAATTTATTAAAAGTAAAAGTATACAATAGAAAGAAATGCTGGATTCCTTGTTGGTACTTAATTTTACGTTCTTGATAAATTTTGAGTTGTTTTCAAACATAAAAGGAATTTACGATATGAGAGTAGCAGAAAAAGTAATTTTATTATTTCAATGATCGAGCACATTGTGTGTTAAAGCAATGTCCGGCACGGCTCACTTTCCTGCCACCGACTGGAGATTCAACGAATTCCCAAATCCAGCGGCGCACGCTTTGTACGTGACTTGCGTCGAACTCATGGCCCTTCCGGTTGCTCCAGATGCGGTAGCTAACTTCCTACTAGATGTTGTTGCCAAAGGGTATCTTTTTTTCCTATCTTCAAATCGGCACAGTCCGATTTACGATGATTCCACTTTCAATTTTGCTTATCATTTACCCTAGGTATACCGTTGTGCCGTCAGACGAGATACATTTGTGGATAAATTGCGTTGGTTTGTTGCTGGCAGCGTTACCCGAGTGTTATTGGTCAGCGTTGCACAAACGTTTGCTGGAGACCATCAGTAGTCCCGGCCTGGTTAATTGGCAGTATAACAACTTGACGCCATTCCAAATGTTTAACTTCAACATTACGCACAACAGCCTGTTAGAAAACAAGTACAGCTACATGCTTGCACTGGCGCATTCAGTGTGGCATCATGCGGGCGTAGGGCAGATCACGACGATGCCTCAGTAAATCTTGATATAAATACATATTTATTAGTAACAGTATAATAGCTAATATAGAAAAGTATAGCGTGAAAGAAAACAGAATTGACACTTTCATAGTTTTTAAAAATGGAAATTTAACGTGTTATACATTTCGTTACGAATTAATGATGAGTAAATCGCTCTTCAGGTTCATCAAGGAGAAACTTCAGCCGGTTGTAAGCAGCGAGGAGCAATTGATATACGCGTGCCACCTAATCGGCCCTACCCTGGCGAGATTTAACGCGGAGCGGCCGCATTGCGTGGTCGAGCTTGCAGTTTGCCTGTACGAGATGCTGGAACGAGTTGACCACACTCAAACAACCTTGAGTTACATGGATCCAATTTGCGACTTATTGTATCCTTGATATACAACGCTAAGCTATACAAATTCGGAAACAACTTTCGACAACTTTAACTGTTATTTAGGCCCGGTTTCACCGGCGTTGTTTAACTTTAAGCTTAGCTTAATTCGTTCTTTGCCTCTTTTCAACTGTTACTTTAGAAAGAGACAAACATGAATTAAACTGAGATTGAAGTTAAACGACGTTTGGTGAAATCGGGCCTTAGTTATCGTTGAAGATAAGTTTCAGTAACAGGCTCAGGTTCGAGATTAATTTTACAGGATTTCGCTCTGATGCGTCTATCGAGGGACTCGGGATGACGCGTTTTGTATCTTCCTTAACACTCCTGAACAGATATCACATCAAGTACATGTTTGTTGGCGATATGACGAAGAACGAGGTGGAGTGTATCATACGAAGACTGAGGCCCGCGTTGCAGATGAGGCTGCGTTTTATCGCTCACATAAACATAGATGAGATCCATACGTCCTAAGGCGTTCATGTATCGATAGGACACGATTGCTTCCGCCGACGTGACACGGGGACGACGTCTTGACCTACAATTCAGTTTCTCGGAACAAACGAATGCTGCCCTAGGCATGGGATTAAAATTATTTTATTTAAAATATATGTGAATGTGAGAAAAATGACGGCTTCCTGTTTGTTTTAACTCTACGAAATGATATGTCTTGTACTTTGATACTTTTTAGCGCGTAGTCGAGTGAGAAAATAAAATTTAATGTTCGACAATCGCACGATCGTTCCCTCTATCGATGAGCGCGCGTCGTCAACGTCTTCGTGCGTATCGCATATTTTTAAATAGATTAATTATTCCATTCGGCTTCATTTTTTTTCCAAGGTTGAGGGACCGAACGTGGGCCGACATCATTGCCAGCCAGTGAATCAAAATTTTGCCACTTTCAGCGCTGGCGTCGCCTTACGATTAAGAATTCGCCCATGAGTTTACCGATCTTGATCTCACTGGCTCGTAGATATAACGGCGTATAACCTTTGTTATCTGGGTTATAGTCGACTATGATTGGTCAATTCTTATGTGTCTGATGAAATTGACCAATCGCAGTCGATTATTCTTAATAATAGTCGACTATAATTGGTCAATTCTTATGTGTCTGACGGAATTGACCAATCGCAGTCGATTATTCTTACGACTACGACCATTGTAGACAGAACCGAGAATCATTGGCTGTGTTCTCCAGAAGTTAGCGCTTAATAAGCGCTTTATGCTGATTGGATAGATCTAGAAGAATAGCTCTATTTCAGCACAGGGGAGCGATCGCGTGCACCGATCGAATTCGAATTCGAGAAGGAATATGCCATCCGATACCACTCTTCGTACATGATCAATCTATGGTCTGAGGGAAACTATCCTATAATAAATAAGCATGAACCATGAAACCTGTAGAGTAGAGACGTATGAGAAGTCGACCGATCGATTTCGATCGTGCACGCGATCGCTCCCCAGATCTGAAAGTATAATCCAATGAAAGCAAAGCGCTTAGCAAGCGCTAACTTCTGCTGGACACAGGCATTGTAGCGGAGGCTTTAATACATTCTCCATGATACGGTATTACCAGGTAATGGCCTAGTTTACATCGTGCACTTGATACGCGTATCAAATAGCGTATTTGAACTGATCAGCCAATGACCAAACGAATTTACTAGTTATTTACTATTTGTTACTATTTGATACGCGTATCAAGTGCACGATGTAAACTAGGTCATTACCAATGGCTGTG